AAGCAACTCTCAGAAACAGGAGCAGGAGATGAAATGCCCCCTCTCCGTTAGCTGTGCTTCTCCTGATGAGAAGAAAAACCCTGGGCTCCAGGGCAGAGACAAGGTGCATGGGAATTATTAATGGAAAAATCTTGAACAATACAAATCTGCCTGCTACACAGGTATCCCTTTGTCAAACACCTTCTTACCAGGGATTACAAATCTGTTGGACAACCCGGATTAACTAATCCTTTTTATTAAAGTAACAATGCATAAATTCCCTTTCGTAGTCACACATGCTTTGACTAAGTGGGATCACTTTCTTGGCAATGAAACAAATTACTGCTGGTGATTTGAATCACTCTCTTGAAAGCATCTGTCTCTTTAGATTTGTTACAAGCAAATGATGTTTTACACATTTAATGAATATACTTGTTATCTAATTAGAACTTTTTTTCTAGTTTCTGAACAACAACAAAAAAATAGTCCTTTGACTTTTCATTAGTTCTTATGATCACCACAAAGTCCCAGCTGAGAGGTGCCCAAGCACCAACTGAGTGGGGCAACTTTAACAGCCTCTACAAGAATCAGTTGATGCAAATGCTAATTACAATGCAGAATGGTAAATGGGAAGTAGAACAAAGGCAAGACAGCTTATCAAGGCGAAATAGTTGTTTAACATGATATAATCTCGCTGTCTTGACAAAGAAAATGTGAGGTCAGTTGTACTGTTACACAGGAAATCCTAAAGAAACCAGAGAAGAAAAACAAAACAGGACTTTGCACAGACACAGCAGGAGAACAAGAAGCACAAAGTAGGTGAAGGGCCTGTTCTGGAGGAAGGGTTCTTGAGAGCTAAGGAGTGAGTTTATTCAATATATTCTCTGAAGATACTGGCATAAAACAATAAGGATGGGCTGGGAGCAGCTGTTGTTGAAACAAGTGTGTAGAGTTTATTGTACTGGAGGTGTCTGATAACCTGCAAGCCCAGGGTAACAGAAAGCAGCTACAATTATTGTTTTAATGCAAAATGTGCAAAATCAGAGTCAGAGACCAGTAAGAAGAAGGTCCAATGTACTCTGGGACCTCACTAATTGCAGTGGCAGGAAGAGGAGGAAATGGCAGGAGAGGAGGAAATTTCAGGTATATCAATAGATCATAGGTAGATCTGTTAGGTGCCACTGGGATTATTTGATAGTGCAGGAAGGCAGATATGACCCTCTGATGCATCAGAAGTGTTTCTTAGGAAGAAGACATCCATGCCATAGTATGAAGCACCAGCTAGCATCACAGGAGCGGCAGAGTAGGATCCTTGCTCAACAGGGATTTATTCAGCCTTGGGCAGGTACTACAGAAACACAGAGGAAACAATGGAATGAGAAACCAGTGCCATAGGAAGCAGCAAAGGGGGTTTGTCTGGATTCAATAAAAGACTGGGAGATGCTGTAGGTGTACAACATATTAAGGAAGAAAAAGAACCAGTGAAATGAAAGGGAAATGTTTGTGTGAGAGGACTTACATGTAGGTCTAAATGCCTGTGTTGTGGTTGGAAATTACAAACCAACATTGTAGGGTGAGAGCATGTAGCAGCCTAACCTTGTCCAAAAGTGGTCTGCCATCTGTCTGTGCTTTCTTTCCCTCCTTGCTGAGCCCGTGACATGCCAGGGGCACGTGCTGTTAGGTGGAAGCCCCATCGGCTCCCTGAGCCAGCTGCCCGGGGGCCGAGGCAGTCCTGCTTTAGGGTAATGTCAGCTGCTGTGTTGCTGAGATACAGCTTCCATGTTCTTCAGGAACACATTGGGAGGACAATAAGGCAAATTTTGAGATGGTTTCCCCCAAGTGAAGAAAGATTAAATGAGATTCAGCTGGACACCAGAAGTCCTTTTGAGACCTGCGCTTAGCCAGAGCCAAATGCCCCTGTAAGGGGCAGCCACAGGGACAAATGTTAAATGAATGTCCCCGGCAAGGCCAGATGCATCCCTTGGAGGAGATGCCAGCTCATTCTTCTGTGGCTGCAGCAGCTCCATTTTGAACACATTCAAACCTTACTCCTGCTAGGAGGCAATGGCCAGGAAGCAGAGCAGTGAGTAAGGCACCAGCTATTTTGTGCCTTATGAATGGTTCCCAGAGGTACAGCCTGTGCTGTCCTTTCATCACCGCATTTGCGTCAGTCTAAAAGAGGTGGGGGTAAGACACTGAGAATTTTAGCATTTATTGTACAGAGAGATATGTTGAACAGGAGCAGCAAAGTAACATTAAAGTGTGCTTATCACTCTCCATTGGTGCTTGTAGCAGTATGCCCAGCTACTGGGGTGATACAAACCCATGTGATATTTCCAATTACCTCTGAGCAGCATTTCTGGGACAGGGAAGCTGTGTACACAGCCACGGGATTTGGCTAATTGGATCTGAAAATATGCAATCAACATTTTCGGGCTGTGAGTTTGCTGTGGAGGGTCTCACTGGAATGTTTCTGACAGGCAGAGCGAGCAATTAATGAGGGGTTTTAGAGGAGCAATGCCCTCTGCCCTTGGGATTCCTCAAAAAAGAGAAAGAAATAACGGAGTAGGGAAGTAACAGTCTACTGCCTGGGTATTATTAAGAATCTTCCTCATTTCCTCCACGAATGGCAAAAACTCACTTCTAATTTATTTCACAATAGGATCCCTCCTCAGGATCCGCATTCTAACTTGCCCTTAGAAACATTAGGAGAACGGATGTTTTGTTTTTAAAATCCTGTTGCCTTAGGGCTGATTACACGCATCAGATGAGCATATGTAATCCTATCAGCTTCCTGTGGTTGCGACAGTGCTAAGAGGGAATCCATTTGCACTCTCTCCATCGCCTTTTATCTACGTTATTATTTTGCCTGGCTCTATAGAGCAGACACTTTGATGGTAGAGGCATTTGACTATGTCTCATGTGAACCATTATCCCACTGCCTTTCCTTTCTCCCCGCTGCACATGACAAGAGGGTCTATTAGGGAAGAAGAAAATACTGTCATCAAGAAACTGTAGCACTGGGAATATTGCTATGACCTGTAGGATTTCCAAAGATTGTCTGCAGAACTTTTCCTAAATCTTAATGATGCAAAAACCACTCTCAGCTCTACAAAGCTGCACAGAAGCCCTGGGGCAGGGGTGAGTGGCACAGACACAACCGTGCCTGCCACCCGCCAGCACGTGGCCACCACCATGCGTTGCCAGAGCTCACCCTATTTCTCTCCACTGAAAGCACTGAGGAAGCAAACCAAAAGCTCAGGTGTCCAACTGCTGCTTGCCGGGTGATCCTTCTGGAGACCCAAACTCTAATATCTGTCTTCTTCACAGTTGTGGTGGAAAGCAATAAGCAAATACACTTATTAAATTATAGCTGCTTTGAAGACAGTGGATAAATGCATAAACCATATTCAGTTCGTATATAAACACCTACATATAAATTGCTCGAGGGAAGGACCACATCCATTCTCTTTATGGCTACAGAGTGCAGTTTTACCATAACACTGTAACATAATGCTCACCACTATGTCTTCAATAACATTATCACCATGTACTGATTAACCGAGGCTCTCAGTGTAAAAATGGCTTGTCCCAGTCCCACTGCAAGGCAGTGGGAGGACTAGAAGGAAAACAAATCCTCTCTGTGCCACATTCTGAGCATGTCACAGCTTTATTGCCTTCCTCTTCTGCGCTCCCAGCATTTCCTCAGCTCAGCAGCACCAGCTTCTTTGTGACTCTGATTTACCTTTGAGGCAGTGCAAATCTGAAAGTTAGTAAAATTATTAAAGAAGTGCAAAGCTAATAGCCTAGGCACTAATTATTTTTCTTCTCACTACTCAGATTACTCATGCATTTTTGTCTGAGGTGCATGGAGGTATGCTCTGATAGATGGATAGCATGCACAGGGATAAGCCTGGCACAGGGGCTCACAAGCTGGGGAGGGAACTGCAGTCCTAGACCACAGCAGAGAAACACAGCCCCAAGCAGCACAGAGCTCTGTGACAAGCAGGAGATGGGAGCCCTGGCTTTGGGGCAGCAGACTCCACCCAGCTCCATGACCTGGTCCTCCAGGGGTGTCTGCCTGGAAATCTCACATCACCTTGGCTGGCTCCTTGTGGGATCATGGAGCAAGACAAGCTGCAGTGCTCTGCTGCAAAAATACCCAAAGGCACATGCAAATCCCACGTGTTGCACAGGGGATTAGGCAGTGAATGAGAAAGCAAGGGAAGCTGCCATCCTTGGACAGTCTCAGAAATACACATGTTCAGTTTCCAGCAGGTTCAATGTCCAAATTATCAGGCTCTCTGCATGCTTATGTTCTACTTACAAACAAACCCCAAACTTGTGTCATGTTGAATTTACACCAACCAGACCAATTTCAGCAATGACAAGAGCTGTTACAGGTACAGCAATCCCCAAGGGAGGCATAGCAGCACAGGAGAACTCAGCGTTGTCTGACAGCAAATGGTGTCCCTGTGTTACACACCATCCCTCTGAAACAACCCACCACCAACCAGGTGGCCCAGCCACTACCTCGTGGATTGATGATATCCATCTGAGCACAAATTCCTTCACCTTTCCACTTGCACCTAGACAGCACATTGCTCTCCTGTGGCACTGAGCTGACTCCGACCTCTCATGTTAGAAGACAAATGGGAAGAGGAGCCACTCTACATCTCCGCTGTGCAAAAATCCCACACTCAATACTAACCATGACTTCCCCCAAAAGACAGCTTGCACTGCTTTTGGCACAGCAAAAAGCGCGACCCACTTAACTTTTCATCATTAAAAAAAACAAAGTCAATTTAAACAGAGATTTTACAGATTTTCCTCTTGGAAAAACCTTGCCCATAATTTCTGCATCCTTAGCCCTGTCCCAGATGCCATTTTTTGAGGCAAACCTAAAGGTCCATATGGATTTTCCAGGAAGCTGATTTGTTCAGATGACTGACAGTAGGTGTCTGGTAAGCCTGCAAGCAACGTGCACAAACGATCTCAGCTGCTTCTCTTTCTGTCTTCAGTGCAAGGAGTTCACCTTTCACACTGGCTATGAGGTGCTTGTGCAGCGACTGTTGGACGGGAGGAAGATGTGCAAAGACGTGGAGGATTTACTTAAGCAGAGGTAAGAAAATTGGAGTGGGAAAAAAAGAAACAAAAAAAGTGAATAGCTTTCATTTTGTCTCCTGTTTTGCATCTGGAAAGGCATAGTAAGCAGTTTCCAAATTCAATAATGATCCTAGTTTACACGGAAAAACCTGTTTGAGTTGAATCCTAAAGTGGTCACAACAGCTGAGTCAGGGACCACGCAGTCACCTGAACCAACGGTGACCCATTTCTGGTCCCTGTGCTCCTCAGGGCTGTTTACACAGATCTAAGTATAAAGTAATTTCAGGCAAAGAAACAAAACAAATGAGAATTTGGTGCTTGTTATATCTTATGAAGGAGGAGACAGAAGGTGAGTGATGGAAGTGAGCAATGAGAGTGATTATCAACATCCTAAAACTAGATGACTTAGCACAGCTTTTTGCCATGCCTTTTTTTCCTAGCCTTTTTACATGATTTGGAAAGGCAGACAATCAACGGAAGCCTGAAGGATACAAGGAGAGAAGAGAGGGGTGAAAAAATCAGAAATCCAGAGCTCCACTAAGGCTCAGGTGGTTACGGGTCCATAATCATATGGTAGCAGAGACATCCCAACAAGAAGCATTACTAAGTTTACCCTTTCAGTGGGGAAAAAATGACTTGCACTTTTTTTTTTTTTAAGAGAGTGCTGCAGCCACATGTAGCACTTCAGTTTCCTGTAACTAACAGGAATGGGCCACCCTTCAAATACAGACAAAGCTACATATGATGCTATCAGAGCCCCTTCCTAAGCTTTCAGAACTGCCCACATAATTCACACATCTCACCACACTTTGAGTAACAATGTCGTAGTTTATCTGCATCCCCTATGTGCCTCCAAGGTGCCCTCAACAACAGCTATGGACAGCTAACGCTTTTGTGGGTGTGAAAGTACATATTACACAGCTGCTCTGACTGCTTTGCTATTCATTTTTGTACTTCTGACTTAGAAAAAAGATCTGAAATTTTGGTTCTGTTTTAAAGTGGCTGAGTTTCAACAGTTGCAACATGCAGCATGAGGCACATACTCACGCATGACCTGTAAGAAAGCCCCCACGCTGTGAATTACATACCCAGCAGGTGATAGTAGAGCAGTTCATCACAGAACTGTCTCCTTATGAATATCACTCTGCCTTCATCGATCACAGCCTCCTTTTTCCTCTCACGCTGCCCCCATCTTGTTTTTGGGTTACTTTTCTAAAGGCTTCTTTTCAAGCACTGGGACTTTCACAGGGATGTGAGCTGCCAAACTGAAAGCTCATTATTTCAGACGATGAAGAGTCTCCCATCAAAATCCAAAGCTATCTGAATTGCTTTTCTCTTGATCACATGTGGAAGCATATTTTATTGCCACGTGTCACAGAGTCCTGAAGTCACATCACTCTGATGGTGGCTTAGCTCTGTTTAAAATAGCTCCTTTGTGACTCATAACTTACCGAGATGAGAGTTGTATTGCAGGCTTCGGGCAGACTGCACTGCAGCGTGCATCTGACGCTATACAGAGCCGTGCTTCTGCTCAAAGCCTATCGGAGGGTTTTCTGCGAGCTGCGGGACAAGGTTCTTTCTGTTTGTGGTGGAGGCAGAAAGGGCTTTCCACAAAGGAAGAAAAAAAAATAAAAAAAACATGTAGAGTCATTTTGAGCACCTGAAAGCTGCAAGAACAAGTGTTTCCATGAGGTTTTACACAACCCCAAAACTTCCCAGTGAGCATGCATATGCCCATATGTTTGTATGAGCACGTGTGCTAGGGGAAGAGGAAGAGGACAAGAGACAGGGCACTAAATACAGAAAGAAGGTGTTATTTGTAGCTTATTCTTGGAACTTTGTCCTCAAATCATTCACAGGAATGATGTAGGAGGAGGACAAAGCGTGGGATGAATCCCTGTTCCTAGAGGCTGCCTATGTCAGGGATTTGAAGCCAGAATTTCAACAAGGAGCCCTGCAGCAGGTGCCTCAAGTCCTGACAACAGCTGCTTTGGCTACCCTCACCCTTTATCAGCTTTCTAACCAGATCTTTTGCTCCCAAATACCCCTGCCTGATCCAGAGGAGGGCTGAAGAGTTTGGGGAGTGAGAAAGAGGTCATAGATTAGATTTACATTAGATTTAAAGCACAAAATATGTTCCAGCTGTTGGCTGCTGCAGGGAAACCTAGAAGCTGTGTGCAAGAGTGCCAGAAAATGGGAAAGGCAGCACACCAAGATGTGAGAAGATGGTGTCAGCCTCCTGCCAAACCCTGCTGACCCAGGCTAGTCCGGTCCCACACGTGAAGTTTCAGGAACACTTAACGCAAGAGTTTTGTGGGAGCTGGCCATTCTCTTTTCCTGTAATATACCCTGTACAAAGCCAGTTGCAAACCTGCAAGTGGGATTTCACCAGAGCCACCAGTCCAGCTGGCCACAGCACGAGGTGCTCACTGCCATCACACGCAGAGGGACAGGCGAATGGGGAGCCAGATACTGTCAGACAGAAGTGTGCCCAAACTGCTGCCCTGTGGCGGCACTGAAACTTGTGTTAGCACACCATAGTCTAGTCAAAGCCACGAGGATGAACAGTTGTTGTCCCTCATTTCTTCCACAAGTAGTTCACCCCAAATATTTTAGAGTTAATTTAGAGAAATTAAAGAAACTCTGTTTCTTGTGTTTTGTATCTCAGCTGCAAAGGTAGAGTTGCACAGGAAGAGTTTTGTTAACTTTATGCTGATTCCACTAGGAGACACTGAGAAATTTTTCTTTTAACAGAGCACAAGCAGAAGAGAGATATGGGAAAGAGCTGGTTCAAATTGCCCGAAAAGCAGGAGGACAAACAGAAATCAAGTAAGCAATTCTTCTATTTTTGGTACAAATGTAAGCATTTTGGAAGCAATGTCAGACACCTGCTTTGCTTATGAATGGGGTCATAAGCTGCTCACTTCAGCACTTCATGGTGCTGAAGAAAATGGGGAACACCAGGGTCCTTCAAAACAAGACTCAGAAAATCTCTTTGGGAATTGCCAGCAGTACACTGAGAAAATTCTTAATTTCAGCACTGCTAACAATGTTTAATATTTGCTTCCAAGAGCAAACTGAGCGATGGGGAACAAGGAAAAGGAAGATGTTGGTAAATGTTTCAGATGCTGGCTTGGCTAACCCTAACCATAACCTCATAGAGACTGACAGAACAAACCCAAAGCACAAAGACACCAAAAATTACCCTCTGCAGCAGGAAAAATGCTTAGCTTAGGAATACAATCTTTAAAACTCTTTCAAGGGATTTTACTTGAGACAAATCAATACAGCTACTGAGATACACTAGAACGACATGTTTTTCTCTGTCTCCAGTACTACTATTTTAGATCATGTATAGATTGTGTTGGGAGAGGACGATATATGTTGGCACAAAATTTAACTTAATAAACACTGCTGATAAACTGCTACTATTATTGATGGTAGCAGCAGTAATGAGACATTTGGTCATTACTGTAACAAGTAATAACACAGGAATAAAGTGGAAGAGGATGAATATTTGGGGTCATAGAAGACACAACTGAAAGAGACCTCAATCTAAACAAAACAGTTTTATCAATTGAGGGGCCCACTACCCTCACCCACCCCACAGCTCATTTCTTAATCACCCTCTCCTTTTTACATCTATTTATCACTTTCTTTTGCTATAAGCATGGTTTCCTGCTCATATTTCACTATAAAACTTGACCCCAAATCTTCGGACCATCATGACATGCAAGTGCCAGGCAGTCACCTGTAGCACTTGCCACTGACTTGGTAGCGCATCCAGGCTGATGGGGAACTGGTGCATTAATCCAAGTGCTGGTAGTGGAGAGAGCACCGGGGCTCACTCCAGAGCACATGCAAGCCTCTCTGTTTCCCTCGTTACTCCATCTCCAACTTACCCTTGAACAACACATTACAGTATCACAGAGGCATAAGGAGAGGTATAAAAAGGTACAAAGAGACACCTTACTGGTGTCTCAGTACAGAGACTTAATCAGATAAAAGGAAATTAAAATAACAGGTTAAGGATAGATGGCTTCTTTCCAAAGCAAATGATAATATTAGCAATTGGGGATTACCAAAAGGCTCCACCTAAATTTCCTTACTGGCAATTCAGAGCAGGCAGAGCAAACACGTTCAGAAACAGAGAGCTTTGGCTGCTCTTCTGTGACTTAGTGGATAACTCACAGGTCTGACTTTTCCTAAGGGATTCTAATGGCTTGATTTAGAGGCAGAGGCAAGCCCCAGGGCTGGGATATGGATCCTTGTTCTCCTGAAGTTAGAGGAAGTTTGGAACCAAGCCCAGCTCCAGTTTGATCCAGCAATTTTATAGCTTGGCATAGAAAGAAGGCTGAATATACCAACAAGGCATGTTACAGAGCTGATTTACTGTGTTTCCATAAACGCATGCCTGGCCTGGGTAGGGACTAGCACTGCAGTGATATATATTTTTTATTTTATCAGAGCGAATGTTTCATAGTACTTATTTCTGAAGCACTTTGCTTTCTCTCTTTCAGCATCCCTCTGGTTGTTTAAGGGGTTACACAGATAGGCAGTGAAAGACTTTTGTCCAGAGTACACACTTTAAAATCAGAGAAAAATGAAATCTATTGAGGACTGGAACTATTCATGGATGTGAAGTATTTGGTTTTAATGCCTTGATATTTTTGACCTGGTGTGCAGTTTGTTTGTTTAGATGGCATACATTGCTGACAGCAGCGCTGCTCCCAGGGTCAGTCCTCCAGAGAGACTGGAGGCAGGGAACTCACCTTCTACCCTTAGTAAGAGCTTGAGAGGTTTGTCCTACAAGTAGCCCCCTGTGTTGCACCAAGTGCTTCCTCTTTTTTAGGGTTCCCTATTATTCGATAGCACAGTGAATACTAGTAGTATCACAAATACCTGACAGGTAGTATTACAGATATCTGAAAGGGGCTATTCACATCTTTGAATGTATCTTTGGGTAGCAGTATTTCTCAAATGAAGTCTAACTAAGGTGTTGTGCAGGTATGGATACCTAAAACTTGCATTCAGCAATCACCAGGAAAAAAAAGCAGCTTCCTCAAACCCCTCCCCTTCCTTTTTTTTTTTTTTTTTCCTTCTCAGAATTTTACAGAACTCCCTATGCCATGCTATATATCACAGAGGAGCAAGAATTATTATTTTTAGATCACTCACTTATTTCCTTGATAATGCAAAATTATCCTCTGGTCTGAATTTCAGTCACCTTTTAAGTATCTCAGTTGCTAAAGGTTTCTGTCACTTCTCCAGGAAGTCATTTCACATTCCAGTAGTTCTCATTATCAGGAAGGTGCCTGCCTGCCTTTTAAAAGGTTGATAAAAAGAAAGAAGACAACTACTGATAAACTTTCAGTGCCAGAGAACTCCCAGAAAACCTTAAGGGAAACGACTGCAAAGACAATTAATTCTGCTTAGCACATTATAAACAACTGCTGAACCTAATGAATTGGCTCCAAAAACCTCCCATCCCTCCAGCAGGTCAAATTGATGCTCTGGAGCAGGTAGGGAAAGCAGCACGTGGCAGAAGCAGCACAAACCTGGGGTGAACATCTGCCCCTGTCTAGCGGTCCAGGCAAAACATCGGTGGCAAACCCATGCTTTCCTTCACCCCCAGCTTTTGTTTGGCCTGTAGCAAGTTGCTGAATTCATCTGAATGTGTAAATAGTTTCTGCTACCCATCTTTATTTACTGAAATGTACAGATGAAGAAAGGTGCTGCTGACTCAAAAGACGAGTAGTAGGGAATGCTCACAGAAATGCAACAGCAGCGCTGGGACCACTCTCTGTTGCTCTTAGTAAAAACGTAGGTGACAACAGACATTGGGTTTCCACCCGTATACTCTCCAGTGCTTGTTCTTCCACCATCACTACAAAAGTTTGGTATAGAGGAAGGCACAAAATGTGCTGCTGGTAGCCAGGCTGGGTGCCTCAATAGGATGAGGAGATATTGGGGACCTGTCAGCAAGCTCCTGATGGGGGAACTGACCCCTCCGGCCCCAGCCCCAGTAGTGCTCGGCAGAGACAACTACGGTCCAAAACTGTAGGGGGACACTTTACTACTGCTGATACTCAGTAGTGAAACATCTGAATCTGGGAAAAGGTCTGCCTGCACAGTCCTTGGCACTAGAACTATGAGGAAGGCACTTTGACCTGAGAGCTAGCAGGGCATGAGTTTTCAGCGCTGCTTACCAGAGATGCAGTTTGCTGCAGTTGGTTCCTCACTGGTCCTGTTCTAACTGCTATAGGAAATGGCTAAGTTTAGCCTACAGCTAGAGAAAATTTTCCTACAAAGCAAGACAGGGAGATGAGGAACAACTTTTTTTTTTTAAATTAAAAAAGCAAAGGCAGGACTTCTAAAAGCAGTTGATGCTGGTTACCATGGGCACGGCAAACAAACACTGCAGATCCCATCTCAAGAAGTAAAAGTTCCCTGAAAGTGCTGCCTAACAGCCAAAACAAGCATCCATTCAGCCTAGTTTAAGCAATTTTGGGCATTCTGTCTTCTTGCCCTTGCTTCAGGCACTGCAGCTGGTAGAAATTATTTCCGACAGGGAAGAGAGATATCCCCTTTTGGCACATGGCACAGACCTAACTCAGCAATTGCTGGAAGCCTTGGGAAGTTCACTCTCAAACACAGAAGGAGACATACACTTAAACACAAGTTCCATACTGCAAGAAGGGTCACGCATGCTCAGACCAAAATCTGTTCAGCCTAATATCCCGTCCCTGGCACCAGATCTGTGTGGAAGGGCAGAACAGACCAAGCATATGAGAAAGTTTCTCCTAAGCAATCTGACCTTAACAACTGGTGGTTCAGGGGCTGCCAAACCAGCAGCAGCTTTATATTGAATAGCCCCCAGCAGAGTTTTCTTGGGCCTTGATCATATTTGAAATCCTGAAATGTTTTAGCATCCACTGAATCTCCTAGCAAAGCAACGCACTTGCCTGTTACATGTAGAAGTGCCTTTTTTGTTGTTCATTTCTAACCTGCCTCACCACACTTGCCACGTTAGCTGAGACATCACAATAGAGGCAGGTTAGCATCCTTTTGGCAAGGTTTCTCAAGGCGTGCCTGTGGTGGTAAGCTGCAGTCCCCCTGCTTTTTGGTCTTACACACACACTGAGTACCATAACACCATCGAACACCTGGAAAAGGCTGGCTGCTTCTTTCAAGGCAATCACCCGGCTGTCCCAGCGCAGCTGTGAATGAGCACTGTATGTGGAAATATGGGAAGCTGGGGAGTCTTAGGGAAAGTGCTGGGAGGAGAACAGCTATCTGAAGGGAACGTCCCTCCCTTCAAATAGCAGTGCAGACGTAACTCTGGGGTGGGTCAGACCTAGGGAGGGACAGGGCAGAACCTGAGGAGTGGGAAAAGCGTGAGGATTGCAGCAGTCAAAGTAGGAGGATGGACACTGCCCAGAAACAGACCTCTGGAGCTCACCTATCAGAAGTCAGGGTTAATGGGTATTTTAAAATATAAAGTAGAAATGAAGACATTTAAGTTTAAAGCTCTGTTAACCCACTTTTTTTTTTTTTTTTTTTTTTTTTTTTTTTTAGTTTATGTATTGAAATTTCATAGTCTCTAATTATCCAAGAAATTATGAGAACGATGATTACAAAGCTATAGCTGTATATTCTTGGCAAAGCACAGGTTATGCTGATTTCCAACAGGGGAGAGGGAACTACATATTATGAAGTTTAAACTGCTGTATCTTTTTATAGCCTCCATATTCTGCATTGCACACATGGGAAAGGATGCACAGGGAGTGAGGATTTTCAGCTGAGTTACAAACTGAGAACAAATTTGC